GGCCCCTGCCGCTGCCGTGTCCGGTGAGACCATCCTTGATCCTCTCGAACAGCCCTCTCTTCTTCCTCTGTCCATGGGCCTGGTTATGGCCCGCACGGTTGTGTCCATGGGCTTGAGAGTGGCCGGAGAAGCGAGACTCGGTCTCTTTGCAATGCACTTGGGTCTTGACCACTTCGTGGGCCGAGTAACGAGTCTCCGTACAAGCCTTTTGGCTCTCGACGTGGTGGCTTTGCTCAGCTGGTTTGTGGCATTGAAGGGAGGCCATGCCTTTTTCACAAATTATATTTATATATATATTTTTTGTTTTGTATGTTTCTGTTCTTATTGATGAAATTGAGCTTCTTGAAGGTGTATTTATAGGGATGGAGCGGGAGTTCCAATTTTTCACATTGAATATTTTCTTTATATTATTTTTTATTTCCTTTTGGTAGGCTCAGCTGGTTTGTGGCATTGAAGGGAGGCCATGCCTTTTTCACAAATTATATTTATATATATATTTTTTGTTTTGTATGTTTCTGTTCTTATTGATGAAATTGAGCTTCTTGAAGGTGTATTTATAGGGATGGAGCGGGAGTTCCAATTTTTCACATTGAATATTTTCTTTATATTATTTTTTATTTCCTTTTGGTAGGAATTCCTAGAAACATCTTTTATTCCCACCATGGATATGTCTAAAAGGAACATATTCCATTAATAATAATAATAATAATAATAATAATAATAATAATAATAATAATAATAATAATACGATTAAAACGATTTTACACACGAAATACAGTACATTTTGAAGATTATATATGCATATAATTTTATGTACGATATTGAAACTTGGATATAAGCTAAACAGAAAATTTGAATATATATATATATATATAATTTTTATTGATGATAAATATTAATAAAAAATAAATATTTGTCTCTACAATGGTCACACACGTTACGAGTGGAACAAATTCCACTTTGATTTTTTTTCCTTCGGATGGATTAAGCTATCTCCAAGTGGGATTCTTCTCTTTCCTACATTATTGAGAACCAAAAAATAATTCTCCGAAATAAAATAATATTTGATGGTTTTCTGCTTAACGTTTAAGCAAAAAAAGAAAAAATATATATATTATGGTCCAAAAGATAAGATACTATTGTGGAGAAGAGGAACGTATCTGAACATGGGCCTATGTTCAATAGAAACTTTATAAATGGGCTTTTGTTAGGAGTTGGATTATTGGGCCAAAACAGACCCATTTAAAATTGGGCCTTACAACTGTGTCCCACGCGCCATCAATCCCGTGATCGTGATTCGTATTTTAGACGGAAATCTCATAATTTTTTGTCTGACTCTTGGCAAAATATTTTAAAAACATTATCATTTATGTATATATATGCAATTGTAATCGGAATATATTACTTGAGAAATGAGGAGATACTCAAATAAGCCAATAGAGTTTTAAACCAAGATTTACAAAATATTTCTATTACAATTCACCAATTTACAAGACCCTGGTATGTAATCAAAGTTAATCTCCCGGACCAAACCGGGTTTTCAACTTTTCCGGTTTAGCAAATTGAACATGAAACCCGGTCTAGCCATTCACGATAATCTCCATTATCACATCGTTCAAGTAATCAATGGGTCCAGGCAAGCACCAATGGAGGCAGTCATTCTGTACCTTCCCCTTCCGGTCCTTCTCGTACGGTCTGTACTCTCTGTACGGACCCGGGTGCCCATCCGGTCGGGTCAGTAACATCGGTGTGAAATCTAAAAGCCTAAGATTCGCGCCGTTTTGACCCACTTCCCCAACCGCTCTCTCGAACTCACCGATCTCAACATCTATAAGTATCTTGTTCATATCCTTGATCTTGATGTCTTCTTCCCCAACTGGTTCTGCCTTCGGACAAATCCCACCGTTATGCCATTCCCCGCCTTCGAAGTGATCCGGAGTTGATGTCCGGAAAAAGATCATACCTTTACGGTTAGAATTCACGAGGAAGTCCATAACGTGACGGAGCGAAGTGTTGTAGGCGTAGACGAATCCTAGTTCCTCAAGGTTCGACTTTTCTGGGCAGATATGACAGCCGACGGGATTGCTGTTCTTGTGGTACACTGCAGCTTTCAAGAACCATTTCCCCGTGGAGATGATGGCGTAGTCTAGGCTTGGGAAGAGATCAGTCCATGTTTTGTCGAGTTTGTCAAGTTGGAGCTGGACAGCAGCCGTCGAGACACCATTGAAGTCTTCGAAGATTGCTGCCTCGACGAGGAACGGCGACCAGATGTTGGATATGGTGAAGTTGTGCAAAGGGAAGTGCCATCGTTTCGATCTGTAGTCTTTGTCGTGATATACCTCAACGGGTTCTTCAACCTGAAACGAGAAAAGAGCGGTAACTACAGTTTTCAATAGCGTTTTACACGAATTACTCGACAGCATCTGCATATCTACACAGTATATATGTGAGTTATTGCATCAACAATTGATGAACTATAGAGAAGAAAACATAACACAAAAAAGGAAAAAAAAAAGGGCAGAAACGACATTACCGTGGAGAGCATACAGAGCAAAGATTCAACATGGTTGCGCGAAATGGAGTCACCGATAAGAGCCCACGATTTATTCCTCATGAGTTGTAGAAATCTTCGAGCATCAAAAGCAGGCAATGAACAATCACGAGGCTTCCATTTCCAGTAGAGAAAGCCCGAGTCAGGCCGGCCATTGGTGATGCAGTTCTGGTGACTGTCTATGAAACGACATGTGCTGTTCGTGTAGATCGGCTGTGATGGATTCGGGACCCATTTCCCGGTGAAGAGATCACACTTCTCTATCACGATATCTGATGGAAACAAACAGAATAACGGGTCAGTTCTTATCACCCGAGCAAATCAAGAATCAGGGAAAGCATAGATTTTTCAAAGGGAACCGAGGTATTCTCAAGAATCAATCTTCTAATGCATGACAGTATGAATTGCAGATTCTGGTTGTTGCAAAAGATATGGATGGAACTCTGAATTTGATCGTTGAAGCAGTATTCCATGATGAAATAGATAGATATCACTAAGAACATGACTACTCACATCAATGCATCTCACGACCAGACAGTCTAAATATCAGATTTTGAACAAGAAAGCTGGACAAAGCACCATGAACATCAAAAAAGGTTGAACTGAAGTACAGTGTCAACGATGAAACTCGAATTAGATCACAAAGTTCTGAGTTCTAAGATCGAACCATTAGAATATCAGATTAGCTGTCATGAATCAGACACTATACAGTATAAGAGATCGCATAAGTGGAGCAAGATCCATTGAAGCAACACTTTCTTTCACCATCCAATTACCAAAATTCACCGAGAAATTTTCGAACTTGCAGATCCAGAAACATCTCAACAACCCCTGGATCTCAGAGCTGTGCCCATAAACAAGTCCAGTTCTTTTCCACAATGGCATCAAGAAAACGAACAGATTCACACAAAAAGCTATAAACTTTCCACCGACCGATCTTACCTTGAGGAATTAGATCCTCGTTATCGGGCAGAACAACGGTCCGCGGCGAGATTTGGGAACCGGTCACCGACGCATCGGCCGGAGAAATCTCGCCGGATGGGAAGAAGAAGAGACCGAGAGCGAGACCCACTATCAAAATCACGGAGACGATCTTGACGAGGAACGAATTTTGCCGCTTCGTCGAAAATGGTAACCAGCTCAGCTTCGTCATCTTCCTGTTGCCGGGGTGAAGATTAGACTGTGGAAGCAAAGTGCTTTGTCTTGAGGAAAAAAAAAATGGTACTAATTATAGATTTATAGATAGATTTTGGGGATAAATAATATCCGAACATTCTAAAGCCATTAAAACAGTAAACTTTGCATTTTGCAATATAAATACACACAACATTTATTACAAATTCACGAAATTATGTATTTTCCTTTTAAAGATTTGACCTACCACATGATCAATTATATACTTCTAAGAGAAAAATACCCGAAAAGGTTCATATTTAATACTTACTGCTCGTGGCCTTTGAAATTTTTTGTCATTTTCTTAAAAAACATTCTTGTAATATATTTTAATATTTTCACCAAAAAGAAAAAAGTTTTAATTTAAAACCACTATAAGAGAGATTTTAAAAAAAAATGATTGTACGAGAAACAATATATCATTCACAATATAATCTACAGTTGTTTTTCTAAAATTCCCAAATAAGTTGACAACAATTTCGAGAAATTGATAATCTTCACCGATTTAAATAAAAATTATGTTGGGTTTCATAATTAAGGGGCATTATATGCATATAGTATAGTTTTTCATGTTACCATATAATATAAGGCCGTATCTTTGAATGAAGCTGGTTTTAATTTTAAGACCTTAGTAGTAGTACAATTAAAAGGAATGAATTTGATGTGTGAATACAGATTCTTTCCTTTTGTATGGGGTTGGAGATGGAGTTTCTGCCTTCTGGTTCTCTTTGCATTTTCTGGGTAAGTGTTTGTGTTTATATGTTTCTCTCTCAAAATTCCTTCTCCCCTTTGCATGTCGCTTGAAAATCATCGAAAATGCCGATAAATCTTGGAGAAGGGGGAAACTTTTTTCGAAACCTCTGATGGTTTCGTGTTCTCACCGGCCATCTGTTTGTTTATCTTTGGATTTGCGATTCTGGGCTAAGGGTATTTTGGATCATGGATTTAGGGTTTACAAATCATCATGTCGGAAATGGCGAGTGACTCTTAAGAACCTCTTGATTTTTTTCCCTCGTATCTTTTTGTAGGTCGATCATCGGATTCTCTGTCGCTTGAGAAAGACAAGGGTTTAGGGTTTTCAGAAGAATCTGGTTCCGAGTTCGAAAATGGCGGGGAACTCAGGGACTTCTTCAACGCGTTCCGGCAAATCGGAACTTCCGTTTATGAAGCAGGAATTCCCAGTGTTGTTCGTTAAGGAGGAGACAATGACGACAGCGAGAGACCACAACACTCTGAAGCAGAAGTGCGAGTTCCTGTCTGAGAATCTCGAGTTCGAGAAATCTAGGAACATGGGTTTGGAGAAAGAGATGAAGGAACTCCATGATCGGTTTTTCGGGCTGAAGCGGGAAACGATGCTCTTCCGGGAAGAGAAATTGAGGGGGAAACGCCAGAGAGAGGAATACGAGAAGCTGTTAGAAGAGATGAAAGCTAAGGAGAGAGAAAGTATCAAGACGATAGGCGAGTTGAAAGAGGAAATCCAGGAGCTTTCCATGGCGAAGGGGAGAGCAGAGATGGAGGTGGAGACGTGGAAAAGTAGGTTAAGCGAGTTGGAGAAGATGGTAATGGAGGTTGCAAAGGATTGCTTGGAAGTGAGGTCTTTGTATCTAAACCAGATGAATCGGGTAGGGACCGGAGAGAAAACCGGCATTCTCAGCAAGAAGAACACGTCAATGGCGAAAGATGCAGGTAAAATTCCAAATGCCAGTCTTTGATAGAAATGCTACTTTGGCACCATTTGTTTATACAAACGCCAATATCTGTGAATATAATGCAGATGTGATAAACATCAGTGACAGTGAGGAAGACGAGAACAATCTCCCTGGAGATGGGTTAGAAAGCTGCAGAGGAGGCAAGAGTTTAGAGAGAAACCGAAAAGGTGGCAAGAGATTCAGGATCTCGCCAGACCATAATCGAGATTCCGTCTCTTCCTGCAAATTCGAAGGACGGATTTCTAACGCGGGATTCACTCCTCGACCCCTTTCACCTTCGTCATCATCAACAGACGCATCTTCCTCGGATTCTGATGCAGGAGTTCAGAATCCTGGGCTCTTCGTCTCGTCTAGGATCAGACAGGAAAAATCGGTAGCTTAAAAGGCCCTGTATCTGAGGCTGTCTCTAAGCAAAATCATGAAATATGCTTTTGACTTTTGTGCTGTGAACACAAAGACTTGGAAGTGAGACACAGCCACAGTACATTTTGGAATGTTAAATTATCTTTTGAGATAACAGCTAATTAGGATTTAGGACACAACTAGTTCCTTGATCTCTGGAGCATGCTACCATTTTAGGTCCAGTTTCAATGTCTGTTAAGGTAAATGTAAAAATGCATCATTTGAATGAATGATATAATATTATCCATATGCAAAACACGTGAGAGAATTAGACGTTTAATTTCATGATAAATGATAGTATCATTGAATTTATGTTCTCCTCTTCAGGAGAATCTCTTAAAACACGCCTGAATACAAAAGAAAAATATCTTGTTTTCTGCAATAGTGTTGAGCTTTTTAGCTCCGGGAACTGCTTGCGTTGAGGTTCTGAAACAGCTCCGGGAGATGGGCATTGGTGAGTTTGGTTCTCTTGCTAATTTCTCGCTTCTTCTTCTGCTTCGGTTTGGACGAGGTCCCCTGAATCCGAGCGGCCGCTCTCCTCTGAACAGTGTTCATGGTGGGTTTCATCCCATTCTTCTGAAGCTCCTTCTCCACATCAAGCATGTCGGTCGGGATTTCTATGTTGCGGAATATATGTTTAAGCTCATCATCCACCCGGATCTGCCCCCTGAAATCATTCGGGTAGGCAATATCCTCTTGTGAATCTGCGTTTGAGAGAAACCAGATGTGTCCTGAAGCTTTCAGAGCCTGCAATACGAGACACTTCTTTAGGACATGACAGCGACAATTACGGCTTGGTCGTTGGGCATTCTAGATGAGTTACTATGTTCATTGCCTCATAACACTAAATATCATATCCCATACTCAGGCCTTGAAATATCTGTTCACGGTTTTAAAACAATTTTGTTCCGACCTCTACTAAACTATATCAAATCCAATCGCCTTTTGCTACAGAGTAAGACAGCCTTTAAGATAGAATCCAACATGATATTCCCCAAATTTTCACGTCAAACTCAAAATATGAATACATCTAAAGTTCTCTCTAAATCCTAATCCAACTAAGGCCTAAACAACGCAAGGATTTGACTAAGACTGTATTACACACAGAATCAATATCAACGGAACCAGCATGGACTTATTGCCAAAATAGCATCTTTATCCATACCACCATCATGGATTGTGCCCATTTCTAAAACATTTACCTGCAAATCCTCCATCACATTCGGGTAAGCATCTTTAAGTTCGACCACCGCAATCCCAGCTGGATATTTGCGTATTAATGACAGAAGCTGACTCTTGTCTTTAGCGTCGTGCCTAGCCTGTGGGTTCAGCATTCCACCTTTC